TAACTGGCGGCGTGGGGTATTGGGTGGGTTGTCAATAATCGTTACATAATTTTGAAGACCACTTTTTCTTAAGCACTTTTTAATGGCGTGACTTACTTCATTTGATATGAAGGGCAGCTTAAAGGGGATCCTACTGTCGTCTGAAATATTATTTTGGGAAACTACCCAACGTTTTCCTCTAACCCGAGTGGCTTCTACTTCGTAGCCATTGGAAATGGCAATTTTCCGTGCCAGGCTTCGCGATTCCTACCTTTCCTCTTCTCCTGTACACACATTTTTAGCCGTACGATACATATTTTTGATAAGTGCTTTTTTTATGTGTGAAGGATGAGAGGAGAGGCAGTGAACTAGAATGTTTTTACTAGTTGGCTTGCGATACCATTTTGTTACATAGCCACTTACTGAGAGCTTTATTTGGATGTTTAAGAATGGAAGCCAGTTCTCGGTAGGTTTTTCTCGTGTAAATTTTATATACTCTGATTGTTGGTTTATTAATTCAAAGCACTCACCCATCTGTTCTCGTGTGGAACAGACGATGAAGCAGTCATCTATGTATCAACAGTAGAGTAAAGGTCGGTGATCGAGAACTGGAGCTTCCACCTTAGACATGAAAGCGATGGAAAGGGTTGGTGCTGAACGCTGCCCCATGGCCAACCCTCTAATTTGTGCAAAATATTTTCCAGACCACCTAAAGACTAAGCAACTAAGACACTGTTTGAGAGAGTCATTAGTTGCGCAGTCGACAAACCGTACATTTTTATTTTCTTTTCATGCTCTACGAGCAACTCGAGAATGGCTTGCATTGCGGAGTCATTGGACACGTTGGTATAAAGTAAACTAACATCGAATGACTCCATTATATGCGTGCTGTTTGGTTGCGCACGCCTTAGGTGATCTAGAAATATTTTGGTGTTAGGTAGATGGGTTGGGATGAATTTTAGCAGCTGGGTTAGGATAAGGTTTAGGAACCACGTTATTCTATCCGTTGGCCCGCCTATACAGCTGGTGATGGGTTGGTTGACGTAATATCACCAGATGAAGTAAGCTTATGTGTTTTAATAAGCAAGTAAAGGACAGGGCAAATCGCGTGTTCGTTCTTAAGTCGAGAAATAACTGAAGGCTCTAAACCCGCGGCCTTTGCCGTACTGATCCATTCTTAATTTAATTTTCGGTATTGATTTCTATATTTTTTTTCAGAGGATGTTCGATAGAAAGAAACATCATTGAGGTGCTCCTCTGTTATCCTAATATCCAACTGACTAGGAAGAACTACGAATTCTCCACCTTTATCATTAATGGAAAGTCTAACAGATTTTGAATTCTAAAACTCTCTAACCTGGCGCATACCACATTTTTGTTGCTGTGTGAGGTTGGAGCTTATTTTTCGTTTTTGGTAGTGATTAAGTATGAAGAGAATTTCGTCCGAAAATAAACGAAATGTAGAGACAATATCGCTATTTGGTAGCTCTTGCTTAAAGAAAGTTCGGAAAAAGGGTATTGGTGGTAGCTCTTCCCTTGGTACTACTTTAGCTAACCTTTCTAGCCTAACCCTGTAACGTAGCTGATCTTGAAGTTTATGTAGACTACACGTGATCCTGAGCAGGATTGGTTTAGAAGTGGGTTGACTAGGTGCAAAACTGAGACCTAATTCTAACAAGGAACACACATTTTCCGGAAGCGTATACCTCCTAGCACAGTAACCAGTCCCGCACGTCACATCACGGTGAGTGGCCTTTCTCTTCAATATGGTGTCTATTTGAAAGTTTGATCTTCAGTAATACTTTAACTTTTTTTCTACAGAATAATAAAAATATCCTAATATAAAGTACGTCCAGGCTCTTAGGAAGGCGAAATCGCCGAAACGTCAGCCATCGACCAACAACACCAAAAACAATGAAAACGACAGCGAAGACCTGTACCAACCTCGCGTCAGCTTAAGAAGATCAGTTTATAAGATCATACAAATAAACATATTAGATGATGCTATTAACAATCACCAGGTGATTTAAACTGAAGATAAACGGTATTCCGTGGTGGGTATTGAGAATACTCTTTACCATAGAGAAAGTATGCTCCCTCTCCTCGTACTTCGTTTTCTTCCTTCTATACGTCCTTTTTCTTCCACGTACTATTCTCAGCTAATCTATGACGAGATTACTTTTATTGAAACCAATCATCAGTGATGTAGACGTGTCCACGGATAGAATTGTTTATGTATAATCCTAATATTTATCCAATCGCTGAAACACGTCTCAACCTATCTCACGAGCAGCCAAGTGCTCCTTGATCGTCTACGTAGCATGTGTCCTAACTGAATGTACGCGATGGATTCTTTCGATGTTACCAGTCTTTGCGTAAGCGTACCAAATAAGTTCCTTATGCAAGCTATCAGCGAGATCCCCATGAAACACGGGAAGCAATAAATAATGTGGCTGGTCGACTAGATAGCTCATGGCTCATGGCTCTTTTAAAGGAATTCGTAAACTGTTTAGTCCTTAGATGCTCTGCGAAGTGTTTCGCGCCACATCTTAACTAGGTTCAATGTCGACTTGGGCTGTCCAGATTAACCCCGTTGACGGGTGATCGCTGTTGGCACCGATCGAAAGACAACTAGCTGAGAGAGGCGAAACGAAAAACCCGCATGGTGTGGTGGTGGACGCATTAGACCCTGGAAAGGGTAAAAATGTGTTCGTTTCCCATCGCAGACACCTGCGCTCCGTAGTTTTGCAAATATCTCAGCATTACTGTGGTTGTATCATATATAATACCCTACCATGAAAAATTGTAATAGGCAGTAAATAACATGTTAACATGTTCGAGCATTCGCCAGTGTGTGCATAGGTGGAGGGCAGAAGAGATCTCTGAACTTGGCGTGAAAAGTAATCGTTTTCGATGGTTACGAAAAAGCATTTTTTCGATATATGTTTAAAGGAAAATCATATCCTAAAAAGACAAGTCTTGTGAAAATGAGGTCCATTTCATCCTGCGCTTAATTTCCAATGAAATGAGCGCAGCTATAAAACATTGCTTAAGACGGCCGGACTAGAGAATCGGTGACACTGGTGGAAATACCATCGAATACTCTAAGGCGCCAGGTAGTTCGCAACCATCTGTATGATCGTCTACGTACAACGCAAAACTGTATAATGGGCCCTTACCGTAGAGAATGTGACTGCACGAGTTCGGGTACGATCTACCTACTCTGCAATACATGCCTACGCATTCGATGGAATCCAAGCCCAGGGGTCATCAAATATCGGAAGTCCAGCGCTAGTCACTGTGCAGGCCAGATATACGTTAGATTTGCTTCCTGAGCGACTACATCACTAACCACCGCGCTACCGCGCCTCCTCTCTCCTACAATTCATACTTGTAATACATCAGATCGTTATCTCGTCATCGATCGACGCAAACTAGTAAGCGTCGTTCCAATCCACGAGGACCTACTACTGCTTATAATAGAGATCTGAGAGCACCTTAGTACGAGTACGTTGGAGTACCGATAAAACTACGTTCCACCAGCAACCAATCTCTCAAGAAGTCCACAAACACCGAATCCATGGACGAACAAGTCCATCCTTATGGATGACGGTTATTAGAAAATGAACTAATGAACTGAATGGAAAAGTACTGCGATCGAAGCAAAATGTGCACCGTGGCCTTCTAAGCAATAAAGTAGATTTGAAACCCAGCGATTTCTGATAGAAAACGTTCAGTATCATCACTTGCATTAGCAATATCTAACACAAATACTCACTACCCCCACATTAGACATTCGTTCCGCTCTTTGTCTTACTTTGAATTTGAGAAGCTCCATACCTTTATTGCTGCTATTTTTACATCAGTTATGGTGTTCAGCTTATGGTGTTGTAAATTAATCATTATCTTGTGGAGTTTAATACTACACTAGTTGCGGCTGCACAGTGGAGAAAGCAAAATTTTATACAGCCGCAATGTTGCTGAGATATTTGCAAAACTCTGGTCTGCAGGTGTCTAAGGTGAGGAACTAACGCGCTATTGTGCTTTCCGGGGAGTAACGCGTTCACCACTACACCATGTGGGTCCTTTGTTTCGCCTTTCTCTCAGCTAGTTGCTAAAAATAAAAAGCAAAATTTTATCCTCCCTTTTGAAGGAAAATGTTTCTTCTTCCTTAAATCCCACCACTGTAGAGGAATTGTTGTACAGCTCGAAGACTTTCGACAAACCCGAAAAACCGACTTTCTATAAACCTCGACATAAATGGTTGATATATTTATTTATATGGTCTTATAAACTGATCTTCTTAAGCTGACTCGAGGTTTGTATAGGTCTTCGTTGTCGTTGTCGTTGTTGTTGGTGTTGTTGGTCGACGGCTGACGTTACTGCAGTTCCACACGTAACAACACGGCTCTGAGGAAGACGAAGTCGTCGAAACGTCAGCCGTCGACCAACAACACCAACAACAACGACAACGACAACGAAGACCTGTACTAACCTCGCGTCAGCCTTAGAAGATCGGTTTATAAGACCATATAAATAAATATTTAAACAAACAGTTTCATCCATGAAATATTACGACTTTTCAATATTCGTTGTTGATAGTGGTGGTGTTATCAGGATGGCTGTGTACAAACATGGAAGAATTATCTTTCTAGTGCAAAAAAGACCAAATATCGCCGATCATCTAATACGTGCTCGGTAGACTATTTTGGGAATCCTGAGTAAATAAAATAGTAACGGTCAAATCATACGCAATCAATCAATACGAGATAATCATTATAACATTGTCACACAAAATCGATCGGACACATTTATTATTAAAAAAATGTTCACCTGTAGAATATACCCATTAATTCATATGCAATCATAAAAACTAATGAAGAACATGGGTCGTAAATAGTTCAGCATAGTGTGGTGTTCTCAGCCTTGACCATGCGTTTCTCATGCATTAATTGATATCATGCAGTCACTTTAAACAATAAATAGTATCTAACTAGGAAAGAAAGAAAGGCGAAAACTTCTTAAGCCGTTTCATTTCTGACGACTATCGCACGTCCACCATCTTTACTGGCAATAATATTCTTGATGACAATGAAAATTGCCGTCAAATGACAGATGTTCACGACGATCATTGTGCATCGGTAGAGGTTGAATGTGAAGCAACGTCGAACGTTTTCTCTAGAAAAAATCATAGAAGTACTCGATTTCTATTGAGTGAAATAAGTCTGACTGTAACAAGCGATGAGATTAATTCAATCAACCCATATCGTTATACATATGGGTGGGCCAAGTGGAAGATGTGCATTTGATTCAATGCATATAACCATAAGATTGTTGAGATATTTGCAAAACTCCGGACCACAGTTGTCTGCGGTGGGGATCGTCGAACACGCTGTATCCTCTGCGGAGAGTAACGTGTTCACCACCACACCATGTGGGTCTTCTGCTTCGACTTTCTCTCAACCAGTTTTTTAACGGGGTTTAATGCTCATTTGTGCTCCTCAAATGATTCTCGTTGACGGATAATTGCTAACGGCATCTTTAGAGTGAAAACACTGCTTGAAAGAAAGGCGAAGCTAAGAACTCGCATGGTGTAGTGGTGAACACGTTAGCCCCAGGAAGAGGTAATAGCAGGTTCGATACACACCGCGTACACTTACGGTCCGCAGTTTTGCAAATTTGTTGTCGTCGTTATTCGCATAACAAGCTATCTCTTTACACAAAGTTGGAAGGGCGACTGGAAACCTTTCTGGTATTGTTATAAATCGTTAGGAAGCGTTGCATAGTATTTATTGAGTTCCCTGGAAAGCAATGTCTTGATTTCAATATGTATTTTTTAAGAGGCATATCTAGGCTGACAATGAACGATATTAATTGGGCGAAACGGCCTAAACGTCGGCCATTATTGAATGAATCTTGTCATTAACAACTTCGCATCTGCTCAATAAGGAGACATAGGCTTAGAATAATTTCAATAAAGTCTACTGGAACCTAAAAATTTTGCCAACAAAAAGTAAGTTTATGTATACCATCTGCGTAGAATTCTAGACTTCTGAATATTATGAAGTCACTGAAGGTTGTTTCGGCCTCTGGTTAGTTTCTGAAGCATTTCTGGCAAAATAAATCAACGAGATGTTTTATTAAGTGATCGTTTGTAGACGGAAAGTCCGACGATTACAGTCGACTAAGCAGAGCTTTGTTTGTAACCTAGCTCGCTCAACTTTTGCAGCTTTGGTAGCGAAACGTGTTGCCACTCGTTATCGTGAAGGAGGACTAGTTTAGTCTCCTTTCGTTAACAAATAAAGAGCAGAGCCGTTGAAATTTCCGTCACATTTTACCCATTTTCTAGATGAACTTCCTCGTAATCTTTAAACCAGTTACGCGTTTCCTATGGCCGAGGAACGAGTCGCACTCCTTGCGCAGAAAAAGCCCCGTTGATGCTCCAAAACGGGGTTTCCTTTGATTATCATTCAGTTTGCGCGGCAGCAATTTGTCGAATTTTTTCGATTCTCTAATTTTTTAAATGCTCCAGAACAGAAGCGGTGTTCAGGCAGAGTTCGTCAACAATAGACGACCTTTTCCGGTGCGCTTCTGTATGAAGTGACTCCTCCGCTGGACATCGGTGATCGAAACGTATGTTGATAATCACTGAAGTCCTACCAAACGTTATGGATACCCTTACCTAATCACTGAATTTTCGGCTATTGCTGTTACACATTATTCTCTAAACTTTTTTTACTTCCACTATACACGCTTAGACCAAACTTAGTAGTTCTGTGAAAAGCATAGACCTCTCAGCATGCAAAGTTGCTGAGATGGACATTTTTTGATGACTCTCAAACCTTTGTTTTTTTCCGAGCTGTTAGGAAATCAATTCGAATCTATCGGTTCTAACGGAGACCATTATCGGAATAAAATCTTTATAATATTTTAAGGTAAGTCGAACAATCTTGGAGGAGATTGCTATCGCGAAAGATAGTAGGTTTTAGCAGTGATTTGAAGCTATTTCTATCATTTTTGTTCCCATCACCATTATAGCACTGGAAATTACCAGAATACACACATTTTTGCAAGCGAGAAACAAGCTTGTTTATACCAGCTGCTTGAAATTCTAGAGTTTTAAAGACTACGGAACCACTGAAGGTAGTTCCAGCCTGAGTTCGGGTTCTGAAACATTCCTCGTGCAGGAGTTCATCGAAATTCTTGAAGAATTGCTAGCTGGTAGGCGAGGATTACGGCGTACATGGTGAGCTAGGCAAAAAGCGTCGAAGTGCAGCTCATTCAACCTTTCCAATGTTTGTAATGCGATGTGTGGGTGTGCATTATTTTGGAGAAGAAATCGCTCCTTTTTGATGGCCAGTGCAGGACACAGCCATTGAAGTTTCTGACGCACTTCATTGATTGTCGGACGTATTTTCTCGCAGTAATAGTTTCACCAGGGTCCAGAAAGGTTTCGTAGACAGAACCAGATGGAAAGCACAAAACGGACATCATGACATATCATTGTTATTTCGACTTCGTGAAAGGCTACGGAGATCCATCGCCGTCCAACCACTGAGCCCCTCTTCGCCACTTATTATAGAGGGTTCAACTATGGTTACACGTCAAAATGCGGATTCTTTGCGACGAAATTTTCCAAACCAACGTTATACTTTGCGCTCGATAACAACTCTTTGGTCCCATTTCTCGTCAATTCGCGCCGTTTGTGCTGCATACGTTTAAAATTCGCAGAATTAAGTCTGTCGAAAATGCTGTGAACACTACAAAAAATTGGTTTTAAAAATATGCAAGAAGAATAGGAATCAATCGCTAATTTTCGGAAAAATCAATAGTTAAATACGTGAACCTGCAGTGCCTTGCTCTACCTTGTGATAAAATGCTGTGCAGCTCCCAGTTAACTGACAGTTAGAACTATAGGGCCAAAAAAGGAAGAAAAGGAAAGTCAACGGAAAGAGAAATAATGAATAAAACGAGAGGAAGAGAAAGAGTGGAAAAGAGGGATGACCAAGTAAGCCTAGAAAATTCGAAAAAATATCGCTTGCCTTACGTTATGCTTCGGATTAAGTGGAAGACATGGCCAGAAAAAGCGCAGCTTTGTGAATTTCACTAAACCCCACAATAATGCGACAAGTTTGATCCATGAGCTGAAATACACTGGTCCTGCTAGAGAAAGTCGTGGTTCATTTGTGAACAGAATGTTGAGAAGTGATGGCAAAGGCACCTGGAAAGCACTCATTCACTAACCGAAATTAAAAAGTACTGGAAAGAAAGCGCCTTTTCAACGCAAATTCAAATAGAGATTATTACGACGCTGCAATTGTTGTATAAACTGCATGCAAGATTGAAAATATTTGTATTCCACTGGTCATTTGCGTAGTAGCAGCAAACAACTGAAGCTTATAAAATAATCTACTGGGTGCCGCACTTATGCTAGTTTTTTAACCCTTTACAGTTCTATTTTAATTTTCCGGACTTTGAAAGTACATTTTATCCTGCTATGTCGAATGAAAAATGCACGAAAAGCATAAAAAATTGGATAATCTCACGTATTCTGAGTATCTCCACGGACCAGAGTGCGTGCAGCGCAGTGGTTAGAGGCGTTCTCCAGTGCATTTGCGTTCAATCCAGCGCCACAGGACCACCAAGTGTTCAATCTCTTGGGGTTGGCAAATTTTTACCATACTTGCCTAATAAAAGGATAGCAGCAGTGACTCAGAGTGACTCAGTTCATCGATAAGCCATCGCGAGTTATTGTGTAGGCCAGATATGCATGCAATCATCACCTTTAACGATGCTTGATGAAGTCGAATGAATGACATACCTCTGCGGGATTGATCGACGCCGATTGCTTTTTTTATCTTTTTGTCCACCTACCGTTGACCATAATAGACGTTATCCTATTTTTCTTATTTTTCTCCTTAATTTTTTAAGCACATGGAGCGGATAGAGCAGTAGTAGTGATGTCAGTCATCCCGAGCATGGCGCTACTCCGATTCCGAATTGGTGCCGGCCTTCTCTAGGCAAAAATCACTCTCTGCTCCAAGCCTTGCCGTCGTTTTCATGTCTAAGGTGGAAGCTCCAGTTTTCTCCATCATCAATCCTTACTCTACTGTCGATACATAGACGACTGCTTCATCGTCTGTCCGAAGAACAAAAACAGATGGATGAGTGCTTTGAATTGTTAAACCGACAGTCAGAGTATATAAAATTTACACGAGAAAAACCTACCGAGAACTGGCTTCCATTCTTAAACAACCAAATAAAGCTCTCAGTAAGTGGCTATGTAACAAAATGGTATCGCAAGCCAAGTAGTAAAAACATACAACTTCCCTACCTCTCCTCTCTTCCTTCACATATGAAAATGCACTAATCAAGAACATGTACAGAACAGCTAAAAATGTGTGCACAGGTGAAGAGGAAAGGAAGGAGTCGCTTAATTTGGCACTAAAAATTGCCATTTCCAGTGGCTACGAAGCAGAAGCCACTCGGGCCGGTTAAAAAGGTAAAACCGTTTCCCAAAATAATGTTTCGGACGTAACTAAAATCTTTTTTAATCTACTCTTCATATCAAAGAAAATAAGTTAAGCCAATAAGAGATGCTTAACAAAAGGTGGTGTTGAATATTATGTGGCCGCTCTTGACTTCTCGCTCAATACCCTACACCGTCAGTTAGCTCGTCATCGTCTCTGAACGCTTGTGCAGCTCAGAAAACTGTGATCTGTCCTAACTGGAGAAACGGGATTGCATAAGTTCAGGTATAATATACTTGATCTCATGTAATGCATGTGGTGAGGAATACATTGGGAAAATGGGTATACCACTTTGTGTCCGCATAAAAGAATACCTAAGTGGAAAAGCTAAAATCGGTTTAAACACTCCTCTGGGTACGCATAGGGCACAAAAGCACAACGGCGATGATTTTGAAGTGACTGTGCGGATCCTAGCGCAGGAATCGAGGACATGAACGCGAAAAACTCTTGAGTCGTTTTGAATAAATTCCAAAAATCCAAAGATGAACTGGAAAGACGAATGCCTCACTATCATGCGTGACCTGGCGCCCTATTTCAAAATGATATTTTGACCCCTAGGTGGGTCTTGCTCGCAACCCCACGTGAACAACGCGTAGACCAGTCCCACTCGTAACAGCACGATGAGTAGCCTTTTTGATCAATACGGCGTTTATTTGAAAGTTTGAACTCCATTAATTACTACAAATATTCCACCAAATATAAGACTACTGTTTCATAAAATACGTCGAGGCTCTGAGGAAGGCGATATCGCCTAAACGTCAGCCATCGACCAACAACACCAGCAACAACGACAAGGACACCGAAGACCTATACCAACTTCGCATCTCCTAAAGAATATCAGTCTATAAGATCAAATAAATAAATACCATGTGTTCCATTTTTTTGTCTTCCTTTTTTTGGTTTCCGTTTAGTCATTCATAATAACCGCTCTCTTCCCGTCATTAATAAAACAACAGCTGACAACTAACGAACTCAATAACGCCGTCCCATTCTTTCGAAGACGATTTCGAAAGAATCAATGAGAAAGTGAGGAGAAAGCAGCGGCAATAAAAAAGTGGTGCTTGTAGTGCAAAGGTGCCCTTTGATACGCACGGGGAGACTGGTTGGTTCCGATATTGCAGACTAGTCACACTCTCAACAATTTCGAATTCGGTTAACGAGCATGAAACTTGTCTGTGAGGACATGAGACATTAACTAATTACATTGCCAGGCTCCGCCAAGTCATTGTGCAAGCCAGATATGCATTCTGTCGCGTCTACGATGCTGAGAATGGAGTCGAAAGCATAGGCATCCTTTAGAGATTGATAACTGCCGAACGTCTCATCATTTAACTTTTCAAAAAAAAACGGTGGTAAAATTCCAATCAATCTGTTTTAATGGGTTATAGTTTGGACACAGGAGTATTAAGCAGAGCATCATATACCGTTTCCCTATCGACCATGTTCTCAGATGAAAAGTGGTGATGGATCATCATCCGAATCTGGTTGAACTAGTGGCATTGTGTGTTGATCAGTGCTTCATATCCTTACTTTTTCAATGATTTTAAGTTTTCAAAATTGCCAACATATTGGGAATCAGATATGTTGGACAGGCGTTGAGTCGAAAAGATCACTTTAGGACTATGTCCGTCAAATACTGGACTCTTGGGATTGCAGACCCAAAACAGGAAGACCAACAATCTTATGGGTAAAGGTCTTCCTGAATACTGTGGGAAAAAAACACGATAGTCATGTCATTCATTTCGCTGACCGTTTTAAAACCAGTGTACCATTCTTCCATGCTTCAATCACTAATGAAGACTGTTGGCCCCCATGAGTTGCTAGGAAATCAATGAGAGATTGGATAGTGTACGAGGAGTTTGGATTTGTTTTTTAGCTTCTGCTGATCTTTAGTGCTGATATACATGCGATGAGTGACGTCTTTTACACATTTCGGAAAGAAACGATCCATCTTTCAAGCACTGCTTTTGAAGTCTACACATCTATACTTTTTCCGCTTACACTCGCTTTTAATATCCAGTTGTCATGGTTTTGAAAGGTGATGACGGCAAATCATTTCGCCTTTTTTTTTCTTAAGCTCAACAAATTGTTACAAATTCGGAAGCCTCCCACGTTCGTACAGAAGCTCGAAGCCTATGGAATAAATTTGTCGTTCTGCAACACTTAGAACTCTGCATCACCAGCGTGAACAAGCTGGCTTGCTTGTAGTTGGAAAAAGTAGAAAAGTTATTGAATATTAAGTCTCAACGTAAAGTAAGACACCAAGAAGAGAAAAAGCGAGAAGGAAATGGATGTTCTGTTTACAACAGCAATTAGGGATTCTAATACCTATTGCTGTTCCGATGAATAAATTCCCGTTCCATCTGCGAGATTTTTAGCCAATCCGAATTCCAGGTAAAGGTATGGCTCTTGTTTTTTGTAAGCGAATGGAAATGATGAAAGCATCTGTTATCCGTGAACACAACTCATGATTTCGAAATCCACGAAATGCACTGTGAATGGAAAAGAAGTTTCTACGGCACGAACAAAGACGACAATGCAGTGCACTTCACAACAAGGTGTATTGATGTCGCAAAAATTCGATAAATGGATTTCTTTGTTCATGAAAATCGATCCAATTCTTGTATTCGACGAAAATCTCCAAGCATCAGGAGGAGATAATGGACAATCTGTGAAGATCGCCAGATTCCAATGTTTTTTGATCTCAGCACTCTCTGTAGTTTGCTGTACAAACAAAAGAAGATTTCCATCAAAAGTAATCAGTAAAGTGGTTATAAGCTTAATGAAAATTAGTGGCTACGGTAAGAAGTTTGTTATGATTAATGATCATGGGATGACGGAGTTGTTAATAATTGTAGAAGATTATGCCATGGGAGCACTAATTTGTTGTTGTTCCTGAGGAGAGCTGGATAACGTAGTGATTAGTGATGCCGTCGACCATGAAACAAAAGGCGTTATATATTCTTTCTTTGATAAGCTTACACGAAGTTGATAACAATCTTTATTTTCGGCTAACGCTTCAACGGTATCGTCTTCGTCATAGCCGATGACCCGAGTCGATACTCCACAGTTTGAGATGTCAAAAGGCGTTAGTTCGATCGCGGCCCCAACGATTCCTCCAACCCAAGTGGTAAAGTCTTAGCTCTGCTATCTCCAAGATTTCAAGGAAAATCGACTCGACCAGCATTCTACGACATTTACAAAGAAGACGAAATCCTCAAGCAACAGCCAAAGCTACAGGCGAAATGTTGGAAGATCTGAGATAGTGGGTGTGAGGAAACTAAATGAATGTGAGAAGTGCTGGGATCTGCAGTGTAGAGGTGATGACGAATCATGTAAAATAAATTTTAAAAAATTCCGATATTGTAAGACGTAGAAAGGAAGCTCGCGCTTTCTTTACACTGTTTAGCAATGCTTTCCTCCTACAAAAAAAAAACAGGAAAAAGCGAATGGAAGTGAAATATTGAGAAGTGGAGTTTTCACAGTATCATACTCTACTAACCTCTTCGAGAGCAAGCACAAGACTTTTGGCTAGTCTAGCGTAAAACACGTTTTCTTCTTCGTATTTCAGCGTCTGGCATACATCAACCATCTCGAAAATATACACAAATACGGAAACGCCCGTGAAAAAGAAGTATCCATAAGCAGCCTGTACAGCGGTCTCACTGTGGAAGTTCGCCAGGAATTCTGCAATCCTAAAAGCATAAAACATATAAAATTAATAACGGCTTAAAACTCTGCATTTCAATTTTTTTGCCGGTACTTTTAACGCACTAAGCAAGTCGGAAAAAGTGGAAAGGAGTGGTATTAGGACTTCATGCCACTCTTAACTCAAATTTGTGTAACACATGAATCATCGAGCGACTCACTAATGCGACTGTTAGTAAAATCTTCACTTGTCTTTTCTTCCGAGGAGGTAGGTATTGTTAGCTCGCCAGACTATATCGTTGAGAGTGAGAGCAGTCACAACCAATACCTCGGATTGTTCTGGTGTAGAAGTACCGCTTATTAGTTAGAGACAACTACAAGCTGTTTCAGAAATAATTGCCAGCCATTGATTGGCGATTTTTAACCGAATTTACACGTAGACTGCAATGTCTAGATACATAAAAATATCTGTGCAGAATAGATGAGTATAGTAACGTGTCTAGGAAGATGGAATTAAGTACAATAAAATAGGAAAAAGAAGACAATCTTCTGAATCCTTCTACTTCTCGGTGTAGTTATTATATATGGCCGTTTTCGTTGCGATTGATCTTCACTCTATCTCAGATGAATAAAGGCGTTAAAGGACAGAGTTCTTGATCGAACCCTGACGGTCCTGACCTATATTCGAGTCGCCGAAGAATTGTTAAAGGTGATTTACAGGCACATCTGGCCTATAGAACAACTTTTGGTGTCCTACTGATATACAAAGTCGGGGCTACTACTCTTCCAGACAAGTCTATTACCAACCTGCTGACCCTGGAAGGAAGTTGGCGAGATCGAAGCGAGGTAACGAACCAGGGACCACGTGTGTATTGTACGCCACCTTTTAACTGAGTTTCATGCACTTTTATTTATGATGAGGGAAATCATGGTGTTCTATATACCACAAAAAATAAGGATACCATCATGTGCTGATATTTCTCTTCAATGTCTAATGCTATTCGTCAAAATTCCATGGTGAAGTAGGAAAAACGGATTGAAAGCATACCTACTGCATAGGAGGAAATCTGCCATCAAATCGAGTGTTGACGCAAATAATGTGATCACAGCTACCACCATTACTGGTGGTGCCCACTCCAAAGAATTTCTGAAATGAAAAAATTTTATCGGATCGGAAAAAATGTAACCATGTAATTCAATATGGACACAGCAGTGCCGATACGTATGGCGGCTGTTGGTGATCTTACGACACTCTCACAATTTTATCATACAGTATAGGCTTTCTCACGTTTATTCACGGCATACTAAGTAAACCTTTCCACAAAATGCGCTCTTATTATGCTTTAGACCAACACGTTACTGACAATTTAGCGTAAGAATATTTCTTCATCGTTGGAACAACATGTAAATAACATAAAATACTGCTGATAATAGTAACCGATAGTTACTTCTATGCTCAACTTACCACCGTTCGCTCACAACGAGCAGCTGTTCCTGTTCATTGACGCATTTTAACAATCAACCGAAACTCATGTTTTCCCCATTGCCCCAACCGCTACATGATTCAATGACTTTACGTCTGAAGGAAATGATTTATCCATTCAAGTAAGGCTGTTTATGAACACAAGAATCAAGTGAATAGCTAACGACGAGTTGCCGGCTGCTAAGTGAAACAAGAGAAATATTGTCACAGATTCTCTAGCTTTCTAGCTTTAACCTTTAATTTTTCACTTTTATCCTTGACTCACTCTCCACTTTTTCATCCTTCTCTTTTTCTATGCAAAGTGCCGTTTGTTAATGAACAAACTTTAGTGGCACTGTCATTTTAGGTAGAAAGCAATTTTCGGAGCTTCTGATTATTCAAATGTCCTCTGAAGTGAAATAACAAGTGAAGAAACGCTAGATATTTACAAAATAATCCAACTTGCCGTTGTTCTCGCACTTATTATTTCATAATATTTTGCTTATTTTTTCCAACAATGACTGATTACGATGAAAAATTTACAATGGTCTATAGCCAGTGACAACTGACTACTCTTCTTGGAACAAGTCACAAAAGCAAAAGAAGGACAGAAGGACTACAGCGGACTGCAAAAGTTTTCGTAAGAAAAGTCGAATCTTTTCAATTTTGTAGCTTTTTGAAAGAAAAACATTACTTATAGCAGCTTATTGATTAGGTGTTGATTCTTAAGTGTCACCTTCACTAAATCACTTAGCAAACAATAGCATGATTTCAAACAAAGCTCACGAAGAAGCACCACCGACCAATTTCTTTTGGTTGCTTCTACATTGACAAAATGAGCAGAGCGACGAAGTAAATTGTACTTACGATGGCCCATGGTCACGCCACACGATACGTCGTCCCATTGTCGCTTGCTTTGTAGCTGACGGTAGTCTAGTAAATCTGATACCAAACGACAACTAAGACAGTTCAATTGAAAATACGAAAACATAACCATTACTAAACAAAACGATTTTATTTATAGAAAGAGAGAGCGACCTAAGTGAACTAGGCAGGCTGTAGGCAACGGACGTGGGCGTGTTGGAAGCTGGAGTGAGTGATGCTCAGAGAACGAACGTGTCGCGTAACGTCCTTATACTCGACGAACTTTTGAAGTGGAAGTGGTACAAAACCACTAATGATAAGGAAATCTATAGAAGAAATTCTAAAGTTTCCTAAAAAAGCGTCTGAACTTAGGTCTTCCTATTCATAATGAATTCTGTGCTCCAGAACTCGTAGAACTTCATTTCCTATCATTTTTCGTATCTATCGCAATCGCTGTCAAGAAAAAAACTCCGATATAAATTTTAGTTAGTGTGAAGTGTTACAAAGAAAACGGTCCAGGTTGTTTTGTGTTATAATTGTCTACGATATAAGCACTACGGTATGGCTGACTGTCTGTGCAAATCGCTGAATATAACTGTTCAAATTATGCTGAACTCGAGCTCAAAGAAGCCAGTTCTTCTAACGTTCAGCATTTCAATAAATTCGAAAACAGGGAAGTACAATCTAATATTGCATCCGTCACAGAATATTTTTGAGCAATAATTAATTTGAGGTTCACAAATAGATTAATACAGAAAATTTTAGAGGTAGTATCTTCAAAATAATGGAACCTATTTATAAGAAATATTTTCTTAAAGTCATTTGGCAATGGAACGCACTTACATGATCATTTTTCGTTTCATTTATTGCAAATGTTTGCGTTCTATTGCCTGTCATCGCATTTTAGCCCAGGAAAATCCTCTCTAACAAGTAGAAATTGTCCATAAGTCTGGAAGATGTCCATTGTGGCCTTAGGAAACTGCCGGAAGAATTTGGTTGGAATGAATCAGACAAATCCAAGAACAACTGCTCGCTGTCTGTTGTCATAGTCATAATCAACCAAATGTCTCACATAACAAACGCAATGGAACTCGTTCGAAAATGCGTCATCTCGGGTTGTTTAGAAGATATTCTTGAAATAGGCATGAATTTGTCACGAAACGAAAACGAGCAGGTTTTTGTTTCCACAGTTTCTGTTTTAAGCATAAGACTAAAGCGTCATGAGGTCAAACCTCACTGTGGTCCAATGTGGATTGAAATTCATCAGTACAACTACACTATCCCCGTCTCGTTATCGAGAAACTTTCAAGTTACTGAAAAGCAGCAAAGTCTTGCTTGTGTTAAGTCACTACTTCGTACCAGCACAAGGGCCGGATTCTACCACCTATTTGTACATTTCATAGGTCTCAATTAGACAGTTCGAGTTCATGTTGTGAGCAGATCAGTCCTCCATTAGACCCAATAAGGTGAACGAAGGTGCTTGTCTATTGTACAATGCATCCCAGACTGTCAATAAGGCTAGTTATTAATACATCAATTGCAACTGTAATTTCGCTAATTTTCGAATAACTAAAATGGACACATGTAAAATCCGTTCCTTCCCGTTGACCACAATAGCACTCTAAAGCGTCCTAATTTTTCGATATAAACGAACAACGTCATACTTTTGTTGTATTACCTCTTATTTTCACTTTTTGAAAATTTTCCTACTTCTCTTCCATGTCCCTTTGTTTTGATGGAAAATTAGTAGATATTTGCACTCAGAACTCTATCGTTATATAGCTTCTTGCTTAGTTTAGCTTTCAAATAGAAAATTGGAACTTCTTTTCAGCTCCTTTGACCCTACCTGTTAATTAAATCCTCTAATAGCCTACCCAGTGTATATCTTAAGTAAAAACATCATGTTGCAGGTCAACAAATTTACTTATATGATTTCATGATGATTTTTTTTCTTTTTTTCTACCGAGTAGCTACTGTTACGGATTACAACCGGCACTTGTGGTTAGCTTCAATTCGATTCCTTCTTTGATCAATAGCGAATTGAATTTCTTCTTCGGTAAGATGGATAGGGTTCGGATTACGACGATAGCTATTCCGGCCACGTCTTTCAGTGAGAGCTTAAAATAGACGAAGGTTTTTGTTGTGAAGAGAGATGCATCTAAGGAATATATTGCGTCTATAGTATGTAACTTACAATTAAGATCTGCGCAAAGAGCCTTCGAGTGATGCATCTGCCTCGCACTACACAACCATCCGTTTTTGCATTTTTCATCGCAATCACCGATGCCATCAAATTTCGAACGTCGATAGTAGTTTCTTAATTTTACACATTGAGTGCCAATCTCATCTTTAAAAATAGATGAAATCTAGTTTGCAACTGACTGTCTATATTTTTCAAACAGCACATTATCAGTTCGCATTCTTTCAATCATATCATTCCATTCGGACGGGGATTGTGATTTGAGTCCTAAAAAATGTTTGTCTTCGAAAAAGTCGGGTAGGTTAGTGCCGGCAGTGGTCATTCGCTTATAGGAAACTACAGATGTTCCATCTAGCTTCGCATGAGCAAGTTTACAAAAAAAAAGTGTCAGCAAAACATGTACCTTTGTATATATTCATATCTATGAGTAACAGCAGCAGCGACCATCTCTACTATAGCTCACACGCCACCAATATTGGCAGTGAGTGGAAAGTGTGTGACTAAGTGACAAGTAAGAACAGCAGTCAAGATGACGTTGGAAAGATGTTTCCAAAATCTATGTTTCTTTTTTAATGTGTAAACCCATACCATATTCCTGATTAGCACTGGCATAAAGCTGTTGCCAATGAGGGCTTCTAGGATTTGCATTTGCCTCAGTTAGATTCAGGAACCACTCCTCGAAATCTATCACTTGCTGTAACATCAACTTAGTAGTAATGTAACATAAAGTTGACCGCTAGTAACTAACATAAGTTGATCCATTATAGGCCCCATCAATGCTGTAGATGCGATAAGCCGGAAAATATTCTGAATAAGGAGTAATTGATGGTGCTGAGTAGACTACGCTTGTAGGGCGTGATGAAGACGATTGTGGGTCTTCGTAGGTGATGTAGAACTCTTCAGAATGAGTATGACCGAAGAACTGGGCCACAACTGTGTTTCGGAATCTAAATCAGCTTTCAAATAAATCTTGAACACTAGCAGAGTTGACATTACACTACGGTGACATGTCACGGAAGGAGTGTTGCTCGTGTTCTTTAGGTTCAATTTTCTTATGTTGCACATTGATGCATCACTGTGTTCTACAAGAAAAAACCATTCGATCTACCGTAATTATGGTATAATTTAAAAAACAACGGCAGACTTAGCTTTAGCACGTATGTGTCAGTAAATGTAAATAGCACCGACTCTATAATTTTTCCCTACTTTACCCTAAAGTTTTAGGAGTACGAAAACAACTGAATTCCAAGAATTCTTCCCAAGAGGTTTTCACTACACATTGCACAAGACCACTTTTGTCCCCGACTTCGTCATTAATTTTAAATTCTTTTATTACACTTGTCATTAAAAGATCTTAGCGCCTGATTATTATAAGTCTAGTTGGCCGTATGACCACAAAAAATGACGCAAGCTTCAGTAAACACGGGAACTGTTTTGATCCGCACAGTAGATGCGATGATGGACCATGTAAACAAAAGAGAAGCAAAAAAATGTGGATAAAAGCGGAAGAATATAGAAGCAAGTGATAAATGCTTAAAAATAGAATTTGGCTTTCGATCACCCTGTAAATCGCAGATTGGCACCAGGAACAGAATAGAAGTTTGCGAAGTTCTAGACAGGTTCTCGTAAAACAACCTGGTCCCTGATGGAGTTATTTAAATCAGACCAAGTACCCCTCATCTCAAAACGAACCATTGCTTCAAAACATTCAAAAACCGTAAATATTAAGTGATTTTCTTCGTATGTTGAGCAAACGCGAGGTGTTATTATTCTTTGTTTTTTTTAATCGATTAAGCTGACGTTTCGGCGGATTTCGCCTTCCTCAGAGCCTGGAAAGGTCAAGTTGATAGCAATCTACTCGGTCAGACGCCTCCATAACCAAACAAAGAAACTCCAAACCAAGATTTCAATCACTTTGAACACAGCTTTGCACACTCTCCGCTTTCTATGATGTTTCCACTAAGTATGTCACGTAGAGACCAACCGCACAGAAATCACATGGAAGTATAATGTGCCCCTCACATCAAAAAAG